GGGGGGGGGTTGTGAGGATGAGGAGGAGTTAAAGGAGGGAGTGAGTGAGGAGAGGTTGGAGGGAGTGAGTGAGGGTGAGTCGGTTAGAGTCGGTCTGGGTGTGTGTGGGGGGGGTCGGCTCCTGTGGATCAGTGCAGACCAGCTCCCCATCGGACACGTACCAAACCTCATTGTGCCGGTTCAACAGCTTCAAGGGACTACACACACACACACACACACACACACACACACACACACACACACACACACAAGTAACAGTAATTATAATAATTATAACATATCATAAAGTATTGAATCTATGGGAATTATAAAACACTCTGATCCTTGAATACAACGTCAGTGAGCACTTAACACGTGTTACGGTTCTTGAGCTCCTCCGTCACTCTAATTATAAACTGACGATGGTGCATTAAAGTATGTTCATGCATTATAGAGCTGTAGAAGAGGTAAAGAGTCGGTGGACCTGTCGTAGCCGACTCCGTAGTGGTAGCTGTGGTTGTAGGACGCTCCCACTCTCTTCAGCTCTTTGGTCAGCAGGTGAGCGTGAAGCCTGGAGGTGACCGACAGCATCCAGCCTCCGTAGCTCCTCACGTACACGTCCATCTCCGGCATCTCCGTGAAGTACAGCTGAGCAGGACACGCATCACGACAGTCAAACACTGACGTGTACGGCAGAAGAAAATACTACTCCAAATACTAGAAAAAAGGAGTCAGCAGTTCTTTTAACACAACGATAGAGAGAGAGCTTTCTGGAGCCGGAATCCAGCAGATAAGAGAAGAATCTGATCCGAGCTGTGAAGCACAAGAACACGTTGAGCGTGTTGAAACCTGAGTGTGAGATGAGCTCGACGCCGCGTCGTAAAGAACCAATCAGAGGGAGAATCTCCTGACCATGTCGTCAATGTTGGAAACATCTTAAATGATGAGTTTATGTATTTTTACGTCACACAGTCTGAAGATATCTTTGTATAGAAACAATAACCACGCTGCCGTATTTACGCTCAGATCACGATGTTTTACGTGTTGATGGAGCTGCTACAATGTTAGCTTAGCATAGCAAGTATTAAGTAATTAAGTAATACGTTATTTACTTGTGGTCTTGTGGAGAGAACTAACAAAACTGTGACTAAATCACAGTAAAAGTCTGTTTATTTGGCTTTATAACGCTGAATGAACCACATCAATGCAGCCGCTAACGTGAAGGCGGGAACATTTACACCACGTAGCTCTGATGGCTGCACGTTTGAAAACAGACAACAATTTAAAGCAGGAGTTTTTTATTGTGTGAGTGGAAGACAATCTTAAAAATGTCAGGAAATCAAATTATTGAGCTTTTTTTCAACAATATGTGATGATTGAAGTGGATTCTTAATGTTTTCTGTGATAATCGTACAGACAGACGGAGATACGACGAGTCGTTATCGATTCCTGAGGTGGAACAATAAAGTACGCTAAACTAGCCGACGTTGTTTTTGATTTATTTGAGCATTTTAATGACTCATGTATTCACTTCCTCATTCAGATTTGGTTCTCTGTGTTGAGAAATCATACTGAAACTAAAACAGTCAATGGATGTAAATAATAAACATCACAGAGTTCATACTGTGACTATAAATGTGTAATAAATGTGTAGTAATCATTAAACTCTATCTGCTATTATCATCTGATACATTAATTCATTTCATATCTGTGGATGTTTTCACACAGAGAGATGAAGGACAGCAGCGTCTATTTTTATATTCTGATCACAGAGAACTCATCGATCGGATCAGAGTCACCTCGGAACGCTCACCTTGTCGCTGGTCGGCGCCGGCGGCTTCTCCTGATAGGCCGCCGGCAGCGGGAAGTTGAGCGTGTAAACGGCCGGCTCCCACATCTTGGTCTCCTCCGGGATCTTCACCAGGACCGGGGCGGTCATCTCCATCTGGAAGCCTACACACACACACACACACACACATAATGAACACACTGTAAAACATTTCAAGTCAGTTAAACTTGCAAATGAAAGTTCACCTGCTGCCTTTGATTCAACTCAGAATCTAAAGTTGATTCAACTGGAATGTTCTAGTTGTCTCAACATCATTGTTTAAGTTGTCAGAGTTGATTGAACTTGATACAGCGAGATAAAACAAAGAATTGTTTTACATCAAGCCAACACACATTTCTGCATTATTGTTTCTCACAGTTTCAAGCTAAAATAACTCAACCACATTTACACAACTTCCCATTTCAAGTTAAGAAGATTTTAATTCCAAATTGGTTTCAACTTACATATAAAAGTTAACTTGACGGATAATATCAAGTTTGCTTGCTTTATCAAAAAAAATAATTCACCCGTAATTCTTACTTCTGATAAAAGAATAAAGCATTTATTTGAATAAAAGATGCACAAGCTTGAACATTGGGTTCAAGTACATTTACCCAACATGTAAAATCCTGTTAAACCACGAACATAGAGTCACGACCTCACCTCCCTCGTTGGCTCCGGTGATGTACTGGAAGAGTCTCCTGAAGGCCATGGCTGCACCCACACCCATGAAGTAGGCCTCGGCATCAGTGGACACCCAGCGGGTGGGGCTGTAGTGTCGCACCTGAACACACACACACACACACACACACACACACACACACACACACACACA